CCCTTTGCTGCAGAAAGGTTTGCAAGTCTACTGCGTGGGGACAGGATAAACAGGGCATCTCACACAGTAACCCACTGCTTTTTGAGACTGTTGTTGTGACCAATTAAAGGCCGAGGAATTAAAAACCGCGGGCTGTGACAAAATGGGAGGAACCACTCGCTGTCTTGCCTAGCTTCTCTGAGTGATCACTTCCCTTTAGTTCAGCCTTTGCTGCTGCTGTTCTGGGGAGCAAGTGACTCAAGGTGTTTAGCGTTTGCACGGTTATTTCCCCCCCACCCCTATCTTTTTACCTGTATCTTATTTATGTCTTTTTTTAAAAAAATAGGTTTCCTATAGACTGCATGTTGGGTTTTGCATTTTTGGGTAATCTCAATCTCTCAATGTCTTTCATAGGGTTTGTTGTGTATTTTCTGTTCTAGGTGTTTTCTGGGTTTTTTTTTTTGTATATTTTTATTCAATGATCATGGACTGAGTACCGATCCTTTCCTAGGCCTTGCATTGGGGGCTGCTGACACAGCCAAGGAGCTCACAAACTAGTTGGGAGAGACTGACCCTAAGTAAATGCAGCAACAGAGTGAGGTGGCTGCTAAGGCGGAAGTGTAGACTAGAAACCTTAGGAGTACAAGGAGATGTGTAGAGAAAGAGGGCAGTCAGGATATTATTATTATTATTATTTTTTCCAGTCAGGATATTATTGAGGGAAAGGTGGGCGAAGAAGAGTGTTAGAGGCAGAGGGCTCAGTGCGAACGAAGGCGTGTGTGTCTGGTAGGCGCCAGGGTTTAGGAAACTGCAAGTAATTCAGTGGGACTGGACTGCTGGGGACTATGTGTGGGAGGGGATTAAGCCCTGCTAAGAAGGTTGGAATTTGTCCTAAAGGCCTCAGACAGCACCTGAGGGAGGGTTCCTAACTGAGCTCTGATACTGATGGCGTAGATAGTAGGAGCCAAAGCTGTTTTTTCCCCATTGGAAGTCTGTCTCCCACCCCTGACTTGCCCCCATCTCCTGCATCGAGTCCTATTGCAGGTACCAATTTTATTTTTCTCAGAATTCATGTAACTACTTAGACAAGAACTATGTTGGGGCGTTCCATTTTCAGGTCTTCTGGATCTTTGCTGATTTTATTTTATTTATTTATTTTTCATTAAATCTTTATTTTTTTTGAGGGGAAGGAGGGGGACAGGAAAGGCAGGGTGTGCTCTGGGGAGGGGAAGTGCGCTGACAATCTTTATTGTGTCCCCCTTTTCCCCCCCACTGACCCCTTCTAGCCCACCCCCGCCTGCTGATTTTATGTGTACTTGTTCTGTTGATGATTGAGAGAGGTGTGCTGAAGTCTCCAACTATAGTTTCGGATTTGTCTATTTCTCCATTCAGATCTATCAGTTTTTGCTTCATGTATTTTGAAGCTGTGTTGTTGGAAGAGATATATATTTAGAATTGACTTCTTGGTGAATTGACCTCTTTGTCATTATGTAATACCCCTCTTTATCCCTAGCAATATTTCTTATTCTGAAGTCTATTTTGTCTCATGTTCATATACCTACTCCATGTTTCTTTTGATTAGCGTTTGCATGGTTATTTCCCCTCACCCCCATCTTTTTACCTGTAACTTATTTATGTCTTTTTTTTTTTTTTTAAATAGGTTTCTTATAGACTGCATGTTGGGTTTTGCATTTTTAGGTAGTCTCTCAATGTCTGTCTTTTAATTGGTATGTTTAGATCATTTACATTTCATGTTATTTTTTTATATGGTTGGATGAGAATCTGTTGCCTTGCTAGTTTTCTGTTTTCTATTAGTTCCTTATGTTCTATGTTTCTTTTTTCCTGCCTACCTTTGGACTGGGTGCTTTTATGATCTATTTTATCTCCACTGTTGGGTTATTATTTATACCTCTTTTTTTTTTTAATTGGTTGTCCTAGTTTTACAATGTATATCTTTAATTAATCACAGTCTGCTTTAATTAAATTGCATAATTTCACAGATAAAACCCTAACAGTATAACTCTCAATTCTTCCTCCTTATCTTTTTACTGTTGTTGTCATACATTTTGCTTTTACATGTGCTGTAAGTCCACAGTACATTACTACTATTTTTGCTTATATTCTAAAGCAATGAAAAATAAACAACAAAAAAGTATTTTAAAATATTTACCTCAGGCCAATTGATATTTCCCTACAACTCTTGGAGGCTCTATTCTGTTTTATTTTTTTTCACTTTTTCCCCATTTGGACTCTTGTGGTTTTCATTCCTTTGCTGAGATTTCGCATCTGTTCTTGAATGCTGTCCAGTTTTCCTATGAGAACGTTTATCTATTGATTGTTAACCTACAAATAAAAGGCCAATGTGAGAGGCAACAAACATTTGAGATCTAAAACAATAGCACTGGTTCAGGTAGAGAGGATTAGGCGGTGAAGGCAGAGAGAGGGAGGGAAGGGGGATGATGACAAGAAAAGGAGGGAGTTTTTGCGGGTGTGCATAAGCTAAGGAAGGAATTTCCATAGGTGCCGATAAGCTAACAATAGAAATTTAAAGAATGTCTTTAAATTTCAGGCCTCCAGCCCAAAGGTTATTTTAGCCAGTCTTAACTTTCCAGAAGTTTGAAAAGTAAGATATGCAAGGCAGTTCTTCCGGGATGGGAGTTCCTCCTCCATGTCAGAGCGACTTTGCTTGTATTGTTTTTCACATAGTCATAGTTATTTTCATTTCCCTGTCGGTAATTTCAATAGCTGGGTCATCTCTAAGTCTTATCCTATTGACTACGTTGCCTCTTGATAGTGGGTTGTTCCTCTTGTTTTATTCTGTGTGTTGCTTGCAGTTTGTTATCGATTGCCAGGTGTAGGCACATACCATTAATTCTGGGACACGAGCACCCCTCTTCTTTGACTAGGCTGTTGGTGTAGAAGTTTGAGTTTGTTAGGAGGGGAGTTGTGTTTGGGTTTTGTTGTTGCTGTGGTTTCCTTTTGTGTATCAAAGGCTTGGGGTCAGGTTTGCTGGAGGGAGGGTGTTTCCTGTGTCTTTGCTCCACGTTGAGCTTTAAGCCTTTCTGCACCTGTGCCGGAGGCTCAGCCGACCACAGTAGTCTTGTTGCTGGGTACTTGCTACAATTGTTTTGGTTCAGCCTCGCCTTAGGCAGCCCCTGTTTCCCTGGCTCTGGGCGCTGATGGATCTTTCTGGGTGACCCTACTCCTCCCCCAGAGGTAGGACACCTCTAATGCTCTACCTCTGGATCCAGATTTTCTGCCTCAGCTGTTTTGGCGGTGGTGACAGTTTGCTGCCTTTTCCCCAGGTGTTTCATATTTTTATCTTTATTTGATTTTTTTTTTTTTTTTTGGCTGCCTCCTGTATGTCCCCTACTGGGGAGCTAGCCCGAAACCCAGGCTTGTGCCCTGACCGGGAATTGAACCGGTGACCTCTTGGTTCATGGGTTGATGCTCAACCACTGAGCCACACCGGCTGGGCAAGATTTTCTTCTTTATTTATTTTTATTTTTATTTTTTAATATATCTTATTGATTTTTTACAGAGAGGAAGGGAGAGAGACAGAGAGTTAGAAACATAGATGAGAGAGAAACATCAATCAGCTGCCCCCCCGCACATCTCCCACTGGGGATGTGCCCGCAACCCAGGTACATGCCCTTGACCGGAATCGAACCTGGGACCCCTCAGTCCACAGGCCGCCGCTCTATCCACTGAGCCAAACCGGTTTTGGCAAGATTTTCTTCTTTAGAGAAGGGACCAGGTAGGCCTTTGTATTTTTCACAGAGTAGTGGCTGCTTTCTTCAGAATAGGACTGCTGCAAGGCTTCCTCTGGTCTCCTCTCTGGTATTTCTCATGAGCCTCCATCAAGGTGTGCGGAGAAAAACCTCTGAGCTATAACCTTCCTGTATAATAAAAGCATAGTATGCAAATTGTCCCCTCCACCGAGAGTTCATCCAGGAGTTCGACCAGGGGGCAGGGCTGGCTGGGGGAAGGGAGGGACGAGGGGCCCTACCCTGCTGGTAATCTAGTAAGTTTTCCTGAATTCTGTGAGCTACTCTAGCAAATTAATTGAACTCAAGGAGGGGGTAGGAGGAACCCCCAACTTACAGCCAGTCAGTGAAAAGCACTGGTAACCACCTGGACATCTGAAGAGCTAGTAGGGGCAGGTTTGTGGGACTGAGCCCTTAACCTGTGGAATCTGATACTATCTTTGGGTAGGTAGCGTCAGAATTGAGTGAAATTGTAGGACACCGGTCGGTGTGGCGGAATTGCTTGATGTGTGGAAAACCCACACAGACGTCCAAATAGAGTGCCCAACTGGCGTGGTCACTGGAGCCAGTTCTCCTGCTTCTGTGTCCAGTTGGGTGAAAAAGCAGCCCAGGTCTCTCTGCACCCAACTCGTGAGACTATAGGCTCCTCGGCTGTTTCCTTGTTTTGTTTGCATGCCTGAACTCACCTGACATTCGCGTGAAAACAAATAAGTTTCCAATTGCCTGCATCGGGAAATCTGCAGGCGCGGTGCCTCCTCTAAGCAGCCAGGCCTCCTCTAAGCAGAGGTAGACTGGCTCACCTCCGCTGGGAGTGGGGGTGGGTTTACTAATGCCCCAGAGGAGCTTGTTATTTTTTCTTTTTTTAATATATTGATTTTTTACAGAGAGGAAGGGAGAGGGATAGAGAGTTAGAAACATCGATGAGAGAGAAACATCAATCAGCTGCTTCCTGCACACCTCCCACTGGGGATGTGCCCGCAACCATGTTGGCCGGAATCGAACCTGGGACCTTTCAGTCCTCAGGCTGACGCTCTATCCACTGAGCCAAACCGGTTAGGGCTATTTTTTCTTTTTTTTTTTTAAAAAAATATATTTTTATTGATTTCAGAGAGGAAGGGAGAGGGAGCGAGAGAGAGAAGCATCAATGACGAGAGAGACTCATTGATCAGCTGCCTCCTGCACGCCCCTCACTGGGGATTTGAGCCCACAACCCAGGCATGTGCCCTGACCAGGAATGTAACTGTCACCTCCTGGTTCATAGATTGATGCTCAATCACAGAGCCACGCCAGCCAGGCCAGAGGACTTTTTTCCAGCTGGGCTCAGGTCTGTGGTCTGACGGGGGACTGGGATAGGTGAGGCAGGAGTTATGGGTGAGGCTGTGGAGATGGGAGTTTTGCCTGAGAACTGCTCACTCTTGAAGGCCCTGATTCCCTTGCGCTGAGCTCAGTGAGGCGAGGCTCTGGCACATCCATTTCGTCGAGCAGATGAGAGGCTTCTGGGAAGCGGATGTGCTGATTCATTCATTCTTTGTTTGAGATGCCATTCTTATCCATGGAAGTTATCTCCATGCCTGTGAAGGACGGATTCCTGGGTGGGAATTACATGGCCTACGGGATTGGGATTCCTCTCCCCGGAAGGTGAGTCAGGAATAGGGAATCTGAATTCCTGACTCCGGGGCACAGGCACTGAGGGAGGGAGAAGGCCATGCAGAGTGGAGGGTCAGGAAGGTGCCGTCTTCCTCGGACAGATTCTGGGTCCTTCATAGGTAGGTTGGTGTAGAATCCAACGTCCTTGAGGTTTCTTGGACTGGCCCAACTCTAACCCAAAGGTGGTATTGCGTGCACACAAGCGTGTGTGTGTGTGTGTGTGTGTGTGTGTGTGTGTGTGTTCTATCTCCCTTTAGGCTGTCTTCCAAAACCAGATCTGTGGATAAGAGGATCTTGCCTCACTGAACCTTACAGCTTTGATTGGGTGTCAAGACTTCTGGATCCTATTCTGGGAGAATCTCTTGGTAGACTCAGATGGTAGTGAGGGGCATGCTGAGGAGAAAAGCAAGTAAGCCCATAGCAGATGAGCTCCACGTTAGAATGCCCTCTGATTACTCTTTCTCCATCTGGTCTTGAAAAAGAAAGGTGATGAATGGGCATGGAGCCATGGAGGAAGTAAGGTGGGTATTTTGGAAAGAGCAGCATCTCCTTGGTCCAGTCTCTGCAATAGTGACGTGCCCTTGTCTGAGCATCTTCCTGGCCCTTCCCACCACATGCTCATGTTCTCTGCCCACCTCACAGCAGCTGCAGACCTTTCCACATGTGGCTGGAGGCTGCAGAAGTCCCTGTTATGTTGGGGTGGAGGTGAGTGGGCAGGATTACCTGGGGATGGACAGATTACCACAGACTGGCCAGGGCTGTGAACCTGGTGCTGGGACTCTCGGTCTTCTCCACAGGGCAGGTTTGTAGGTCTTAAGCTGCAAAAACTATGTCTCAGTAGAATCTGTGCTATGGATAAACCCAATGCCAGCCTACCCTGGGCGTCAAGCCAGGTACCTCATGTTGGAAGTCGCCTTCATATCTTGCCTAATCGCTTCTGGTATCTTTCTTGGGAGCAGTTTCCACTTATTTCCCTGAGTCCTGTGGTGGAAACAGATAGGCTCATTGATTTTAGATCTGTGTATGAGGCGTGCTGTTCCCACATAAGAGGTGGGCAGGGACATCTGCCTGCTTTGCAGGTCTAAACTTGCACCTCCCCAGCCCCTGCCTTAGACTGACATACTTATATCCTTTGCCAGGCTGTCGTCCACACTGGTGTGAAGGAGCTACTTGCCATGGAAGCCCGGGAGAGCACGGCGTCCACCTATCAGTTCATGTCCGAGGCCAACCAGCCCAGGGAGGAAGATGATAGCATGGCACCTCAAGGGACCACAGAAACTATGCAGCTGAAGAAGGAGATCTCTCTGCTGAATGGGGTCAGCCTGGTGGTGGGCAACATGATCGGCTCAGGAATTTTTGTCTCACCCAAGGGCGTTCTGGTACACACGGCTTCCTATGGGTTGTCGCTGGTCATATGGGCCATTGGCGGACTTTTCTCTGTTGTGGGTGCCCTTTGCTATGCAGAACTGGGCACCACCATCACCAAATCTGGGGCCAGCTATGCTTATATTCTAGAGGCCTTTGGGGGCTTCATTGCCTTCATCCGCCTGTGGGCCTCCCTGCTAATCGTTGAGCCCACCAGTCAGGCCATCATCGCTATCACCTTTGCCAATTACATCATCCAACCCTCCTTTCCTACCTGTGATCCCCCTTACCTGGCCTGCCGTCTCCTCGCTGCTGCTTGCATATGTAAGTCTGGGGGCTCTGGGGGAGTCTTGGTGGGGGTTGGCGGTTACTTTAATGATGCTAATAGTACCTTCTATTGAACACCATATTTTGCTTGTTGGGAGGAAAAGAGGTATTATGTCTCTTTAGGAAGTAATTTCTTTTTTTGGAAAAAAAATATTTAAATATATTTTTATTGTCCTAACCGGTTTGGGTCAGTGGATAGAGCCATCGGCCTACGGACTGAAGGATCCCATGTTCGATTCTGGTCAAGGGCATGTACCTTGGTTGCAGGCACATCCCCAGTTAGGGGGTGTGCAGGAGGCAGCTGATCGATGTTTCTAGCTCTCTATCCCTCTCCCTTCCTCTCTGTAAAGAAAAATCAATACAATATATTTAAAAAAATAAATATATTTTTATTGATTTCAGAGAGGAAGAGAGAGGGAGAGAGAGATAGAAACATCAATGATGAGAGAGAATGCATTGATCAGCCCCCTGCGCGCCCCCTACTAGGGGTCGAGTCCGCAACCTGGGCATGTGCCCTGACCAGGAATCGAACCGTGACCTTCTAGTTCATAGGACAGTGCTCAGCTACTGAGCCATGCCGGCCGGGCTCAAGAAGTAATTTCACCAAAGTCATCTGGTCCTGAGATAAGGGTACAGGGTGGGGTGGGAGAAGTTTAAATTTGTTGTGGCTGTGAATGCCTCACATTCCTTCCACTCTTGGCTGTCCCTGAATTCTGTTCCCCAGCCTGTGACGGGTCGGTGCATGTCTTACTAGTATATTTGTCTTGTAGGTGTTTTGATTGGAATCGATATCACTAGTTATAACTTAACCCGGAAAAAAAACATAAGTGGTGAGGCCTTGATTATGCTGCAAAAAAAAAAAAATGTTATTTTGCTTCCCAGCTTTTTATCTTAAATTAGTTTAGAGGCATCCGTGAGGAGATCGCTTCTCTAGGTGGTGGGTGATCCCTCAGGCCCGCAAGCCCACAGGGCCGCTTCTGGCTGCCACTGTCACGGCCGGCCGGTTCTAAGCAGCAGGCCCCACACCAAAACGGCTTTCCCCACTGGTGTTTCAGATTTCTTTACACTGATCTGTGTAAACGAGTCCTGCCTGGGGCCAGTGAGAGGCAGGTGGGTGGCTTCTACCCTGTATTTGGGTTTTTGAGGAAAGAACCCAAGAGATCTCAGTGGATCCCTCTTTCTTTTTCATTTTTCTCTCCTAAGGTGGTGAGGAGGGATTCTGTGTGAAGTCACCGAAAGGAAAAGAGGTGCCGGTGAATTTCCCCAGTCCTGTAGAGCTTCTGTTTTCTTTAGCTGCGAAGTGGCCCAGAATTCCCTGTGTTCCTTAGCATTGTGTTGCCAGAGGCACTTAATTATACCGTGTTCTTTCCATATCTCTGCTTGCAAAAGTTCTGGCAGTATATGTAATTTATCCTCCGTGTTAAAAATAGACCAAGAGCACCGGATTATAAAGGATTGTACCGTACACTGTGCCTCCTAACATTAAAGGCATTTGTTACAGACAAATGTTAAAGGGAACCCCTCCACAGATACCCCAGGGAGGGGGGAGGGGGGGTACGCAGTTGTATATCTGATAGGATTTGGCCAGGGGGACCTTGGCCCGACTGAGCTCTCTAAAAAAGGGAATGGTTTTCTGATTATAAAACATATTCATCAAGGAGAAAATTAATTTAGCCTCAGATTACCCCTTAATCTACCACCAAGAGTTGAGGACATTTTTTTGTTTTGTTAATCCTCACCCAAGGATATTTTTTTCCATTGATTTTTTAGAGAGAGTGGAAGGGAGGGGGAGAGACAGAAAGAGAGAGAAACATCAGTTGCTTCCCGCATGTTCCCAGACCCGGCTGGAGATTGAACCTGCAACCCAGGTATGTGCCCTTGACTGGGAATCGAACCAGAGACCCTTTGTTCCACAGGCCGACGCTCTAACCACTGGGCAACACCAGCTAGGGCGGTAGTTCTTGAGGTCCACAGGTCCCCTCTCTGGCCAGGGGCCCAGCATTGTAAGTCTAGGTGCTCAGCACTCGATTTGACTGCAGACGTGTATGTGTCTGGCTTAGTTATTGTCGGCACGTTTATCTCTGCGGGATCCTCCTTTTTCTGTAGCCTCACACACCTCATTGGTGAGTATTTTCTGGGGCGGTTTCAGCATGGAAGTCAGTTCAGCACTGACAGAGAGGCATCAAAGCAGAGGCCTCCTCACAGTTGAGACTCCATTGCCCCTGAGGGTTTGTTTGGCCAGGCCAACAGTGAGGAGGAGGAGGAGGAGGAGGGGGAGGGAGGGGGGGAGGAAGGGGGAGGGTTGGGAACGGTTCCTTCCCCTCCCTGTGGCCCCTGGGAAGAGGGAGCTGTGACTGTCTGCAGAACAGGGACTACAACTTCAGGTTGCCAGGCCAGTTCCTCATCGGAGAATATGAGAGGCGCAGGTCTGTCTGAGGGCACATGCATTATCCGCATGTCAAAAGCAGACTGCGGGGCGTGGGGCTTGCAGGATGACTTCATAAACCTTCAGGGAGCCAGGTTCCTTCCTTCTGCCTTCCGGGCCTGTCCTCATTTCTAGCTGGTGGTTCAGGCCGGCCACTCCAGCTCAAGCTGTCGTATCTGCATCATGGCTGAGAGCAAGAACAAAGAAAGGCAGGCCTCACCCTTTAAAGAGATTTCCTGGGGTCTTATTCATATTGCTACTGCATGAAAACATTCAAACCTGTGAGGAATTTTTGTGAGTTTATTTGAGCCAAACTGTCGACCGTTGCTGGGAAGCAGAATCTCAACGTATTGCGTTAATAATGGCAGTTTTTCACCTTGTTTTATACATTACATTCAAAGGAGGGGATGTGAGAGGGTTACATGAAATCCACTGGTGATCGCTTAGGGAGGTGGGAGAAAGCAAAGCAGGGAAACCTCTGGGATTGGATAAAAATTAAATTGACAGACACATTTTTATTTTTTTTATAACATCCTTTTTCTTTTTTTTTTAAAAAAAATATTTTTATTGATTTCAGAGAGGAAGGGAGAAGGAGAGAGAAACAGAAATATCAGTGATGAGAGAGAATCATGGATCAGCTGCCTCCTGCATGTCCCCTATTGGGGATCAAGCCCACAACCCGGGCATGTGCCCTGACCAGGAATTGAACCCTGACCTCCTGGTTCATAGGTCTACGCTCAACCACTGAGTCACACCTGCTGGGCTGGACACATACTTCTTTTACATAGGTGGGTACAGGATAGTTAACAGTCAATTAATAAGATTAATAGCAATTAACAACTAACAGTGAGGGAATTTGTGGTCTCCAGCCTGGTGCCCTCACATATTTATTGGTTGTGCCTGGAGAGGTCTGGCAAACGGGAAGTTACACGTTACCCTGACATTCCACAGGTACGTTATCTTAGATGCAAAAGGACAGTAGGCTCAGTAAAGATGGAAGTTGGTCTTTGTCAGGGAAAACACTGGCCTCGGACACGACTACCCACCAATTGAACTGCTTTTTAATGAAAGGTTTTCATTTCAGACCATCCTTTGTGGTTCCTTTAGGTCTCTTGAGTTTGCATGGCCACCATGCAGGCCTTCCCTGCGTTCGTCAGGCTAGCATGTGGCCCCTTTTTGTCCACACCATGAAACTTGGCTTACATCCTGGGGCAGGAACCTAGTTACCTGGCCATACCTCCCTGCAAGAGAGGCTGGGCAATGCCCGCTTTATTTGGGGGCAACCATGACGCTGGCTAAAATTTCTATCACTAAGGTAAAATGGAAAAACAGGTATTAGAAGGTAACTAGTGATCTTTGCCACAGAGAGACTTGGGGATTTGTTTCTGCTTTGGGATTGGGTCTAGATTTGCTATTTGAATGAATACTCCTTTCTCAGCAACCAGCTCCCAGAGAGACGTTCTGGGACGCATGGAGGAGTGAGGATCAGCTCGTGAAATTTTATTTCTTTTTGATTATTTGTGGACGAAAAATATATTTTAAAAAAATATATTTTTAAAAACATATTTTTATTAATTTCAGAGAAGAAGGGAGAGGGAGAAGAGAGACAGAAACATCAATGATGAGAGAGAATCATTGATTGGCTTGGCTTCTGAGCCACGCCGGTGGGGTGACATTTTATTTCTTAATTAGAATCGGGAAAACATTCAGAGGACTTGACTGCTGCTTGGTAGACGGTTTTCAGAGCTCTCTGTTCTCTGGCAGGGCTGAGCGTCGGGCGAAGCCAGCAGGCGCCCGGGGCCAGTGCTTAAGGATGGTTTGCCAAGTGGCCCTCTGACCGTGAGCGCCTCCCACTAAGCATTTTTATTTTCACTGAGAAAGAAGCCTATGTGCGCGGTAAATCAGTCTAAGGACAGCAGGGCACACGGTGGAAAAGGTCTCCCTCCCTCTCCAAGGGCTCCTCTCCCCGCCCAGAGCCAGCCACGGCGACCAGGCTCTTTTGTACCTTTCAGCTGGTCTTTCAGAAACGCTCTGCAGGGACCCCCACAAGGCACGGCCTTCGCTCGTCCCTTCATCACTGGTCGTGAATTCCCACTGTGCGCAGAGAGGACTCAGCCGTGGGGGGACGTGTGGCAGGGCGGAGGGTGGGAGAAGGAGCAGAAGTGCGCCCTCTTTTTGTCCCTTTCTCCCTGTCTCTGCCTCCTCGTCTTTGTCTCTTATCTCTCTCTGTCTTCTGCGTCAGACTTTTATCACAAGCTGTACACCCTCTCACTTCTTTCCCCGTCCTGCTTCCCTCCTCTGCTTTCTTGTGGTTCCTTTGTCACAGGGTTTGTATGTGTCTCTGACTCGCTGTGGCCCTGGCCGCTGCTATGAGGTAGATTCTGTCTCTGGGCTTCCCGACTCCATGTTCCTGGGAAAGATGAGCCAATAGGCTCAGCTGGGGTCCAGCGTCTGGCTTGGTCAGTCAGGCACAACAGAGGAGGGGGAGCCATTCCCGGGAAGGGGCCGGGCGGGGAGGCCCGTACCTCACAATATGCTGACTGTATGGCACCAGGGCCTGTGGATTACTGGTGGCGATTGACTAGGGCAGTGGTCGGCAAACTGCGGCTCGCGAGCCACACGTGGCTCTTTGGCCCCCTGAGTGTGGCCACGAAGTTTCCATCGCACTGTACGTGGTATTTTGTGGAAGAGCCACACTCAAGGGGCCGCCGTTTGCCGACCACTGAGCTAGGCAATCCTTCTGACAGCTGATCTAGGCTGAGCCCCACACCCTTTGGGTAGCAGGGCAGGTCCCTGGGAAGACCTGCGGGCAGCATGCATTCCTTTGGTCTTCTCCCCTTCCCCTTGACCTTCGCCCTCGCCCCCCAACCCCCACCTCCTATGACTGTTCTAGCGAGCATCCGTGTCATTCATTTGCCAGAGGATGGAGTGAAAGCTCTCAAAGTGTTTTCAAGGCTGTTCAGCCACATGTCTTATTTCCACAGGCTGGCCCTAGCCCAGGGGTGGGCAAACTTTTTGACTCGAAGGCCACAATGGGTTCTTAAACTGGACCGGAGGCCGGAACAAAAGCATGGATGGAGTGTTTGTGTGAACTAATATAAATTCAAAGTAAACATCATTACATAAAAGGGTACGGTCTTTTTTTTTTTTTTTAGTTTTATTCATTTCAAACGGGCGGATCCGGCCTGTGGGCCGTAGTTTGCCCGCGGCTGCCCTAGCCTCTCTCTCCACTGAGTGGAAGGATGTCCAAGTTTCTGACCCTCGCCTTGTTCCCGGGAATTCACGGTTAAGTGAGAGTCATCACCTGCCTGATTCTAACAGAGTTCGCCCTTTCCCCTCTCTGTTTGGCAATAAGCTTAAGAAAACAAAATGCTTCTGTTTCCCCCTAAGAATTATGATCTCCTGGAGAAGCACCATCCAAATGCCCCAGGGAGAGACAGACCTTCCTGAGACGGAGGTTCACATGACCACAGCCCCAGGCACTGAGCTGTGCTGTGAAGTGAGACTGCTGCAGGCGTAGGGGGGAGAGAGCGCAGTGAGCCACTGGCTGGTTTGTTTGGGGAAGGTTTTACAGAGGAAGTGGGGTAGAGCTAGGCCTTGAAAGCGAGAGTTGCTGTGGCTACGGCAGGAGGAGAGGAGGACATTTCTTTTTCATGCATATCTGGCACCAGTAAAGAGAGAGTCTGGTGAAGTAGACAAAACAGGTGGGAGCAGGTAGGGGTGGTCTGGAACCCCTTGGGTATTGCCCTTGCGTCTTCCCTATGGATCAGAGCAGAACCTGGGCCCGGGTGTCACCGAGGTGTGTGAGGAACCGGAACGTAAAGCCACTGGTGCTGGCAGGAGCCCAGGGAATGCCCAAGTGGGCTCACTTCCCGTGGACCGCACCGAGCACTGAGGGGCCTGGAGAGATCAGTGGGGTCCGTGTGAGCTTAGGAATGGTAGTTGGCCCCTGTCAGCCTCAGGTTTCTCATCTGTAGAACGGAAATCAGGAATGCCTGTATTTTGGGGTTGTGAGAATTAATTGACAGGATGTATGTGAAATGCGTAGGCACATGACAGATTTCTTTTTTACACTCGTAGACAAAACATTGCCTAATTCCTAGGTGACCTGCCACCTACATTCAGATTCACCTCATTTATTAATGGGCCTCTCTTGTGTCTACTCTCTAACGTGGCCATGGGCAGGCCTTGTGCCCTGGGTGGTTTAGGACCTTGGGAGGTCTGAGTGGGCCTGGAAGAAATTTCTAAAAATGATCTGGTTGTCAGAATTTATGAATACGGCCCTGGCCCGTTTTTCTCAGTGGTTAGAGCGTCGGCCTGCGGACTTGAAGAAGGGTTGCAGGTTCAATTCCCTGTCAAGGGCATGTACCTTTCACTTCGATGTTCTCTCTCCCCCCGCCCCCCGCCCCCCCAATTCCTCCTTCCTCCTTTCCACCCTCTCTGGAAATCAATGGAAAGAATGTCCTCAGGTGAGGATTAAAAAAACAAAACAAAAAGGACTTGATGAATATGTGTCATGCCTTTGTATCTTTACTTGTCAACAGTGAGGGGCTGTTCATGGGAACTCCCAGCTGGGGCACATGGGAGCTGTCCCTCCGTTTGCCTGTTCTGGTTCTGACGAGTCCATTGGCCTCCTTGCTTTAGGCAGATAGGGCAGAAGTGATAGACTCTGGCCAAGGAGGTTGGGCCTCTGTGCTCTCCGCGGAGCCTGCCAGGGACTGACTGTACGGCTTTTCTTCTAGGTCTGCTGACATTTGTGAACTGTGCCTATGTCAAGTGGGGCACACGTGTACAGGATACTTTCACGTACGCGAAGGTCCTGGCGCTCATTGCCATCATTGTCATGGGCCTTGTTAAACTGTGCCAGGGTAAGGAGGGCCTGAGGCGGGAAGGAGGGCGGATGACTCCGGGAGGCCCCCCCCACCCCCCCCAGTCTCCCTTAGGGGGATGTGGGGATTCAGTGAGCCTTATGTTCAGCTCAGCGAGAACAGGAGATCTGTTCCTGGGCCTCTTGGGTCAGGCCGGCTTGGCCAAATGGACATGAGTCAGCCCCTCCCTCAGGGCTTTCCCTTTCAGGAGGCTAGGCCAGTGGTCGGCAAACTCATTAGTCAACAGAGCCAAATATCAACAGTACAACGATGGAAATTTCTTTTGAGAGCCAAATTTTTTATACTTAAAATATATAGGTAGGTACATTGTTATTGACTTAATTAGGGTACTCCTAAGGCTTAGGAAGAGCCACACTCAAGGGGCCAAAGAGCCGCATGTGGCTCTCGAGCCGCAGTTTGTGCCGACCACGGGCGCTAGGCGCTCTGCAAGAAGCCGGCTGAGAGCTCTTGGAACTTGGGTCGTAATTGGGTCATAGAAGCAAACAGAGGGGATGGAGTGAACCCTGCTCTGGCTCCTGTTTTTGGTCTGCGATTGCCAGGCAGCAAGTAGGAAGACTTGGCCCTCCTTGAGAGGGGTGGAAGGGTGTGTGTGTGTGGGGGGGGGAGGGCTGAGGTGGGGGGAGGGGATAGGGTATGAAAATGAATGATCATTTCATCTGGACTTGCTCTTATTCAGGATTCCCTCCCAAAGTCAGCTCTCAGAAAAAAAAATCAAAATATTGTGAAGTTGGCACTGACTTTTCTGCAGGCTGGCTTTAAAAGCTTTTCATTCCTGCATCAGAGCAAACTGGCAGTGAGGGTAACAGGCCTCCCATGATCTCCTGAGTCCTTGGCGAAGCCCTCAGGCCAAGTTCGTAATCCTTTTACAACCATTCTCTGAACTTGGCTGTGTTCATAATCACCGGGGGCACTGAGACCCCCATCTCAGACCTGTTGGCTCAAACTCTGGTTGGTTTGGAGTTGAAAAAGGTCTGTTTTTAAGAAGCGCCCGTGCAGTTCTTAAGCAGCCGGTCTGGCACCTCTGCACCTCTGCACATGTTCCGCGTTAGTGCGCGCGGCCAACCACCCGGGTGTCTCTGGAGCCTCAGCAGCATCCGGCCCTCTTTGCCGCGTCGAGGGACGAGGGACGAGGGACGGGTCTGGGCTTCCCGCGGGGGGTGGCGGCAGGCTCCCTTAGAAGTCTGGGTCTTGTTAGAAACCTGCAGGGTGTCCAGGAAGTCTCTAACCGGGGCAGCTGGGCGCCCCATCCTGGGCTTTCAAGTCCGTATAGTCTCCGAGGTCTCCAAGGAGAATGAGGAGTGCCTGGGCTGGCGCTTCAGGGGGGGAGGTGACCCAGATCAACACCAGGCCCAGTGAGAAAGGAGACCCCAGGTCCTACACAGCCTGCGATGTCCTGCCCCACCCACCCTCGGCCACTGCAAGGAGAGCAACAGAGTTCCCTCTGTGTGAGCCGGAGAAACTGTTTGACCAAACTGTGCAGTGGTCGGAGCAAAGAGAGGCGGTTCCACAGGAAGTCTCATTGTTAGTGAAAAATGACCTTTTTTTATGGTAAACAGGGTGCTTTCTAAAAAATAGGAGGAAGAGTTGTGGCCCACTCTGGGGTCACTGCGGGGGCGCCGGGGGCGGGGCGGGGGGGCGGGGGGAGGATGGAAATTCACTGCGGTTTTGGAACAGGTGTCACATCAGAGGCAGCTGGGCGGACCCTTCCTTCTCTGAGATCGTCTAGTTTTAGTAAAGGAATCTGAGCTTTCCTGAGAGCGTGGGGGTGGGGTTAAGTGTAGGGAGCTGGTAGTTGGTGTTTTTTTTTTGGTGTTAAATTATGTTTTGTTTTTTTCCTTTCCCCTTCCCCCTTGCTTTTCCCTTCTTTTCTTGACCCTCTTCCTTTCTGTTTCCCCCCCATCTTCTCTTCCTCTTTCTTCCTCCCTTCTCCCCATCCTTCCCTTCTCCTTACACCGTCCATCTCTCTTCCCCCTTCTCCTTCTTTCCCTTCCTCACCCCTAAACCCCCCCCCCCCCCTTTGCTCCCGCAGGACACTCTGAGCACTTTCAGAACGCCTTTGAGGGTTCCTCCTGGGACATGGGAAACCTCTCTCTCTCCCTCTACTCTGCCCTCTTCTCTTACTCAGGTTGGGACACCCTTAATTTTGTAACAGAAGAAATCAAAAACCCAGAAAGGTAAAGGTGGGCTCGCCCTCCCGCTCCCCGGCTCTCACTCCCCAACGTGGCTGGAACAGCTGGTAGAGGACAAGGTCGTCCCCTTCCTCCCCCTTGTCCCGCTGGCTCTCATCCCTCCCTCCCCAGTCTCCAGCTGAGAGGGATTCGTGGTCAGGATGGGAGTGAGTGAAGGTGGGAAAGCCGTGGCTCCTCCCCCTCATGGTCATCCTGGAGGAAGCCAGGGTCCCCCCCTCAAGGAGCCGTCCTTGAATGGGCAGCAGAGCCCGCTGGGGCTAAGGAGCTGGGACCTTGCACGCTGGTACTGACCCTGAGGCCTGGGGAGCCGGAGGTTTATTCTGGGCAGCCAGGCACTCAGCCTGACCTCTAATCCCTAGGGGACGCTGCTCCTTCTCCAGTGGGACCCATGGGTCCCAGTGAGACGAGCATCACGAATGGACCATGAGCTCATGAGCTCTCTCTACAGAGAAGGGTTTCTCTTCCCCCTTCTCTCTAGAGAGCCCAGGGGCGTGGGACACATACCCATCCTGGGATCATGGGGGAGAGGTACCTCAAAGACCCCGAGGCCAGGGAACTGTTAAATGTCAGAAAAATCCTTGGGTGAACTTTGACCCCCGGGAGAGGCTGGTTCTAGGTCGCCTGTCTCACTTGTGCCGACAGGAACCTGCCCCTGGCCATCGGGATTTCGATGCCAATTGTGACGCTCATCTACCTCCTGACCAACGTGGCCTATTACACAGTGCTGGGCATGTCGGACGTCCTCAACAGTGACGCCGTGGCTGTGGTGAGTCGCTTGGGATCCCCGAATGGTTCGGTCTTTTCGCAGCCACCCCAGCTCCGCAGGCGAGGCGAGGGGGTCTCGGTCAGAGGGCGGGCTGCCCAGCAGGGATCCTGTTTGTCCCCACAGCCTGGAGGCAGGAAGCTTAGGAAGCCCCGTCCCATGCTGAGTGCGCCTCTGTGTTCTGCCCCCAGACATTTGCTGACCAGACATTTGGCATGTTCAGCTGGACCATCCCCATTGCTGTGGCCCTGTCCTGCTTTGGGGGCCTCAATGCGTCGATCCTTGCTTCATCAAGGTACTGTGTCCCTGCCCCCCTGGTGACAGACTCCACTGTTCTCTGAGGCTTTAGGTGAGCCCGTAAGAGCTCTTCTTTTCCTTCCTCCCTTTCCTAGAAAGACAGGGTGTGTGTGTGTGTGTGTGTGTGTGTGTGCACATCAGTGTGCACGCGTATGCCTTTGTGCAAACGTTGGTGTGCTGGTAGCTCGTGCGTTTATCTATTGAGTTGAGAGAGAAAGAAAGAAACATCCGGCGGAGCGGCTGGCGGCGGAGGGTGCGGTTGGCGTTTTCAATCGGGAGGGAGTTGCAGACTCTGAGCTCCAGATACAGGCGAGTCTTTAGGGACCCAGACTCAAACGGGAGAAGCGGGACTGTCTGGCTTCGGTCAGAGCGAGTGCAGCTTTCTCTCCGAGCTTTGCAGCGGGTGCTGGGACCCAGAGAGGCAGAGCCCCTGGGGACAGGACTGAGAGCCGCCATAACTGCTCTCTCCAGCCCACCCTGTTGATCCTGTGCGACCCGCCCCGCCCAAGCCCTGCACAGAGGCATTTGCCGGATAGCCTCAGGCAAAGGCTAGATTAGCACCTCCCTAGAGGACAGAAGTTCTCTCACTGCTGACACAGCTGATTCTCATAGCCACTTGGCCTGGAGGTCAAACCCTCCCTGGTATTAGCTACAACAATCAAGGTTTAACTATAAGACTTCGAACAAAGACCACTAGGGGGTGCACCAAGGAAGCATAACAAAATGCAGAGACAAAGAAACGACAAAATTGTCAATGGAAGATATAGAGTTCAGAACCACACTTTTAAGGTCTCTCAAGAACTGTTTAGAAGCCGCCGATAAACTTAATGAGATCTACAAGAAAACTAATGAGACCCTCGATCTTATATTGGGGAACCAACTAGAAATTAAGCATACACGGACTGAAATAACGAATATTATACAGACTCCCGACAGCAGACCAGAGGAGCGCAAGAATCAAGTCAATGATTTGAAATGCGAGGAAGCAAAAAACACCCAACCGGAAAAGCAAAATGAAAAAAGAATCCAAAAATGCGAGGATAGTGTAAGGAGCCTCTGGGACAGCTTCAAGCGTACCAACATCAGAATTATAGGGGTGCCAGAAGATGAGAGAGAGCAAGATATTGAAAACCTATTTGAAGAAATAATGACAGAAAACTTCCCCCACCTGGTGAAAGAAATGGACTTACAGGTCCAAGAAGCGCGGAGAACCCCAAACAAAAGGAATCCAAAGAGGACCACACCAAGACACATCATAATTAAAATGCCAAGAGCAAAAGATAAAGAGAGAATCTTAAAAACAGCAAGAGAAAGAAACTCAGTTACCTACAAGGGAATACCCATACGACTGTCAGCTGATTTCTCAACAGAAACTTTGCAGGCCAGAAGGGAGTGGCAAGAAATATTCAAAGTGATGAATACCAAGAACCTACAACCAAGATTACTTTATCCAGCAAAGCTATCATTCAGAATTGAAGGTCAGATAAAGAGCTTCACAGATAAGGAAAAGCTAAAGGAGTTCATCACCACCAAACCAGGATTATATGAAATGCTGAAAGGTATCCTTTAAGAAGAGGAAGAAGAAGAAAAAGGTAAAGATACAAATTATGAACAACAAATATGCATCTATCAACAAGTGAATCTAAGAATCAAGTGAATAAATAATCTGATGAACAAAATGAACTGGTGATTATAATAGAATCAGGGACATAGAAAGGGAATGGACTGACTATTCTTGGGGGGGAAAGGGGTGTGGGAGATGCGGGAAGAGACTGGACAAAAATCGTGCACCTATGGATGAGGACAGTGGGTGGGGAGTGAGGGCGGAGGGTGGGGCGGGAACTGGGAGGAGGGGAGTTATGGGGGGTAAAAAAGGAACAAATGTAATAATCTGAACAATAAAGATTTAATTAAAAAAAAAAGAAAAAAAAAGAAACATCCATGTTCCATTGACTTATGCACTCATTGGTTGATTCTTGTATGTGCCCGACCTGGGATCAACCCCATGACCTTGGCGAATCGGGATGATGCTCTAACCAAGGACAGATTGATAGGAGGTGGGAGAGAAGAAGGTAATAGCTGGGGTGAGGGACCCTGTCAGGGACCAGCTTCTAGGCTCCTTGTGGGTTACGGCACAGCCCCAGGACTCACTGCTTCAGTAAACGATTAGCGAGCACTCGCTGGGTACCAGGTCCCGGCACAAGATGATTCTGCCCCTCTGTGCAGAGGCTGTCCTGCCTGTTGTTTCAGAGAAAGGCGCCTTGCCGGCTCACTCTGCTACCTGGGGTCAAGGTTACACGCTTCCTTTCCTTAGCGCCGCGGTGCATCCGTTGGCCCTTCTCTTGGGCGGATGTTCACCCATTGGAGCCATCTCCGCACACGCTTCATTCATCTCCACTTACAGAAGTCGCAAAATAGCTCTTCCCGTCTCCCCTCTTCCTTACTGGGCACATTTCTTGAGGGAATAGTGTGTATTTCACCGGTCATTCCTTTTTCTACCCATTACCCTTTGGCTTCTAGTACCTAAAAAAAAATGTTCTGAGTAAGGGTACCAGTGACTCCTCCTCAGCCTGCTTTCATCACGGTCCTTATAATACCGGACGCACGAAGTAAGTGATGCCGACAGCCTTTTACTCCTGAAACGATTCCTGTGACTCTCTGGTAGCTGAGAAGGCTCCTTTCCTGATTTCTCACCCCATAAATGCTGCTATGCCCGAGGCCAGGAGTGTACTAGGCATGCAATAAAGATTTGCCACAGGAACAGATAGGATAAGAGAAAGTTTTGTCCTGTTTATTTTCCTTAACTGGTTTTAACACCCCACTCCGTGTACGTGCCTCCTGGAGCGTCAAGAGTAACAGGGAAGCAAGGTCTTGTAAAAGAATATAGTGTCATCTCCTCTCACCCCAGCCTGGTGTGGCCCAGGTTCCGCCCCTTGTGGTTCTTCACAAGCTGCCCCACCCAAAGATGGTACTTCCCCCTCTCCTCATGCTCACTGGTGCTCAAAACATCCCCCTTGACCTTGCCAATTATCTCCAAATATTGAGGTGGTAGGTGCCTTCTAACCTCACCTTGGGACATCGACTGGATGGGGTTGGAGAGGACGCGAGAGTAAGCATCTGGACCTGCACACAAAGGGAGGTGCAGTGCTGTCCAGGAAAGAATGCACAATTGTTTCTGCTTGTGTTGCCTTCTTCAGTTTTTCTTTATAACCCACGCAGCTGGTGTGGGTTTTGTACTGGACGCCTTTGCCTCACCTACTCATGACTCCCTTCCAGCATCCTCTCCTCCACATTTCTTCTCTACTTAGTACAGATTATTAACTTCGTCAGCCAACTCCAGCGTCTTGCCCGATAGCACCTTTAAAGATGACATCATCAACTCCTGTGTTTCCACCCGGATGACCCACGCGTATCTCAGACTTAATATACACTTTGTGTCCAAATGCCCTTTGCGTCCAGTTGTGATTTTGTGGACCATCAGTCCTCCTTGCTTCTTTTATTTTTTTTTAGAATAGTTTATTATTGATTGTTTTTAGAGAGAAAGGAAGTGAAAGGGAGAGAGAGAGAAATGTGGATGTGAGAGCGGAACATCGATCGGCTGCCTCCTGCACACCCCCTACTGGGGATGGAGCCCGCAATCTGGGCATGTGCCCTGGCCAGGAATCAGACCAGCAACCTTTCTGCTGGGACAGTTCTCAACCAACTGAGCCACACTGGCCAGGACAGTCCTCCTTGCTTCTTAATTTTATCCTTGGTGTCTACCCTATTCTCCCAGTGTATGTATGTGCACGTGTGTGCATATGCGTGTGTGCACGTGCGCGCGCGCACACACACACACACACACACACACAGGATCACTACATTTGATTGAGGTTTCACATCTATCCTGTCCTCTCGTCAGCTAGTGCATTGGGTCTCATTCAGGCCTCCTCTCTTATTTTTATTTTTTTTATTTTTATTGATTTCAGAGAGGGAGAAACATTAATGATGAGAGAGAATCATTGATTGGCTGCCTCCTGCAGGCCCCCCTACTGAGGATCGAGCCCGCAACCCAGGCATTTGCCCTTGACCGGAATCGAACCTGGGACCCTTCAGTCCGCAGGCCAACGCTCTATCCACTGAGCCAAACCGGCTAGGGCAGGCCTCCTCTCTTATGGCAGTTATCATGGATGAGCTTGTCTGGCCTTCTGTCCATACCCTCGTCTCTCCCTGTTGATGCTACCAGCGTCTCTGGTCAGGCCTTTTCTTCAGAGCCACAGCTGGCTCTCAGGCTTGTTCAGACTCCACAGTATGTCCTCATGTGCAAGTTCTTCCCAGCACACGGCTCACACTCCTTATCCTAGGCCTACAAGCATTCTAGTACCAACCTTTAGAGAGGCCGCACCGTTCCGCCTCCAAGCCCCTTTTGCCTTTGCCCATGCCGTTTCCCCACCCACCACTCACCTCTGCCAGACTCCAGCTCGTCTTCCCAGCCCAGACGTGGTCGTCTCTTGCGAAGCTTTTTGTTCCCAGCCCGCCCCTAAGCCTTGTGAGGGCTGAGTGCTGCGTGATGACCTGCCTGCCCTGGGTGGTGCTCATTTCCCTGCTGCTCTGTTTCCCAGTCAGTCGGGCTCTTTCTGTGTAAAGAAGCAGCTTGGCTTGTCTCTTTGAGTCCAGGTTTGCTCTGGCCGATCGCACGTCAAGAGCTCAGAGAAGATATATGAGGACACAAGAGAAGTCTGGCTACTTTTCTTTAAAAAGCCATTGTGTTTCCCTGGCAGGTGCGGCTCAGTCGGGTGAGCACAGTCCCATGCACCAAAAGCTTCCATTCCCGACCAGGGCTCATGTCTGGGCTACGGGCCTGGTCCCCAGTAGGAGGCGTGCAGGAGGCAGCCAATGGATATTTCTCTCTCTCCCTCTCCCTCTCCTTTCCTCTCGCTCTAAAAGATGAATAAAAACATATTAAAATTAAAAGTCATTGTGTTAAGTATGAAACTTATGGGATGGCAGAGTGAGGGTACCTCCGGTGGGGTGGATTCGAGTGCCAGTGGGTGATGGCAGGGTGAAGCGTTCATTGGGTGCTGGTGCGGTGCTGTGATTGAGAGAAGTGGGGGTGTCTGTGGGTGATGGTGGTGCCTGGGTAACCGTGGGGTAGGGCATTTATGGATGCTGGTGAGGTGCCTCTGGTTGAGGAAGGTGGAGACATCTCTGGGTAAAGGGGGGGTAGGTTGGACTGGGCGTGCATAGAGAAGGTGGGGTGCTCCTGAGAGACTGGTCCCTGCTTTCTTCTGGAGCTCTGAGCCCACTTTGTCTGCGTGAGGAGTGTGGCTGTGTGGCTGAGTAAAAAGGATCTTACTGACACATTTCCTGTCCCCCCAGGTTGTTCTTCGTGGGCTCCCGTGAGGGCCACCTCCCAGACCTTCTGTCCATGATCCACATTGGGCGTTTTACACCCATCCCTGCTTTACTGTTCAACGTAAGCTCTGCTGGGGGTGTGGGACTGGGTATCTCTCTCTCCTACTCCTGCTGACTTGATGCAAAACTGTTGGGTGGGCGGTATACTAGCTTTCTTGAGATAGTTCTTGATCCTCTCAGTGTTTCTTCTTTCTTATTAAAATTATTTTAAAATGTAAGTGTAAAACATAGTCCTATTAGAGAAGGCAAATGCTATAAAAGAATATAGAAGTGAACTTGTAAGATTTCTCTATCTGTTATATCAGTGGCTTCTTCCTCTCCTTCTTCCAGCTCCTCCTTTTAACAAGAAATATTAAATCATATTTAGAGCCCTAGCTGGTTTGGCTCAGTGGATAGAGCGTTGGCCTGTGGACTGAAGGGTCCCGGGTTCGATTCTGGTCAAGGGCACATGCCTGGTTGCGGGCTCGATCCCTTGTGGCGGGGGGTGTGCAGGAGGCAGCTGATCGATGATTCTCTCTCATCCTTGATGTTTCTATCTCTCCCTCCCTATCTGAAATCAATAAAAATATATCTTAAAAAAGTCATATTTAGAGCCCTGGCCAGTGTGGCTAAGTCGGTTGGGTGTTGTCCCATGTACCGAAAGGTCGCCATTTTGATTCCCGGTCAGGGCACATGCCTGGGTTGTGGGTTCGATCCCCAGTTGGGGCATGTGCAGGAGGCAGCCAATCAATGTTTCACTCTAGCGTCTCTCTCTCTCCCCCCCTTCCCCTCTCTCTCTAAAGAAAAAGGATCAATTAAAAAAAATCATTTTTAGAAAAGCCAGATCAGTTAAACACCAACTACCCTAAGGGCCTCTATTCATGTCATAGACATCATACATTCATATACGGTAGATGGCAGTGAAGTGTGTTCTGACAGGTGGAACGTTCTTAAGAAAGACCACTCTCTAATAATCTCTAAGATATTATATAAATAAGAGCTAATAGGAACCCTGAGATAAAAAGGCCTTACTCCAAGATTTGAAAAAGTTAATTTTTCTTGTTATTAGGTCTTAAATGTTTTAATTAATTGTTTAAATTTTGGCTTCCTCTGGAATTTATATATATATATATATATATATATTTATATATATTTTATTGACTTTTTACAGAGAGGAAAGGAGAGGGATAGAGAGTCAGAAACATTGATGAGAAACATCAATTCAGCTGCCTCCTGCACACTCCTTACTGGGGATGTGCCCACAACCAAGGTACATGCCTTTGACCGGAATCGAACCTGGGACCCCTCAGTCTGCAGGTCGACGCTTTATCCACTGAGCCAAACCGGTCAGGGCTGGAATTTATATTTTGATGTGTAGGGGGAGGTGGGGATTCACTTAATTTTTTTCTCTCAGATAGCCAGCTATGCCAGTATAATTTATTGAATAATCAGTTTTTCCAGTTTTCAAATTTGTCATATAAAAATAATAGGAGGTTGAAAGGGCTGCAGACTCTCAAGGGGGAGGTGCCTGTGGAAGTCACTCTGGCACTGAGGCTGGCTTCCCTGGGCCTGCTGGAAGAATAGGGGTTGCTTAGGGGCTAAGTGGGGCTCTTCCGAGAGAGGTGCCGCCCTTCAGGACTGGGTTTCGCTGATCTGGTCTGGGCTTTGAGCTTTGGGGCTTGGCTCTTTGGGGATGAAAATAATAATAATAATAGCTAATTTGGGGGGTGCTTTATATATGCCAAGTATAATGATATGCCCCTTAAATGTATCATTATTTCAACTAATCCTCCCTCTCAGCAATAAGCTTCATTATTTAGTTTTATGTTGAATATCTGAAAAAAACAGGATACTTTCCTCCTGGAATTTTAAAAGATTTTTATTGATTTTTAGAGAGAACGGGAGAGAAACATGATGCCAGAGAACGAAACATTGATTGGCTGCCTCCTGCATGCCCCCAGTCGGGGGTCAGGGATGGAGAGGCAACCCGGGCATGTGAGCCCTGACCAGGAATGGAACCGGCAACCTTTTGGTGCACAGGATGACACCCAACCAACTGAGCCACACTGGCCAGGGCTCTAACCTGCATTTCTCAGGTGCCAGGACAAGGCATTTGCCCGTTCGTATGCCAGGTAGTTAGGACCCACGTGTAAAGACCTGGAGGGCACCTTGTGGTTCATGTTGAGGTTAGTGGGTTGAAGTGCGGAGGGCCTCACTGTCTGCCCTCAGAAGGGTAAAGGAGTCACTGAGTGGAGGACGGGCCTCCAGCTGCAGAGGGGGAGATGCCACCATGAAGATTAAAGTGGGGAATGGACCTTCCTGGGGGCAGGGGGTCACGGGAGAGAGCCAGAGGTCATCTGGTGAAGCTAAGTCAGCGGTCAGCAGATCTGGTGGGGCCCCTGGTGGTGACATTGCCCTCTCCTGCTCCCTCCCTCCCCACCCAGTGCATAATGTCACTCATCTACCTCATCGTGGAGGATGTTTTCCTGCTCATCAACTACTTCAGCTTCAGCTACTGGTTTTTTGTGGGCCTGTCTGTGGCTGGACAGCTCTACCTTCGCTGGAAGGAGCCCGAGCGGCCCCGGCCTCTCAAGGTCAGTGGCTCTGGGCAGACGAGAAGGGTGGGCCCTCTCCCAAAGGTGCCTTCTTTTCCATCTCGTTCCCCCATCCCACATTACCTGATATCTCACCTCCCTTCATTTCAGCTGAGCCTGTTTTTTCCCATCGTGTTCTGCATATGCTCCTTGTTTCTGGTGATTGTGCCCCTCTTTGGAGACACCATCAATTCCCTCATTGGCATTGGGATCTCCCTCTCCGGAATCCCCGTCTACTTCCTGGGTGTTTACCTGCCAGAATCCCGGAGGCCGCTCTTTGTCCGGAATATCCTGGGTGAGCTTCTTTGCCCATCACCACTGTGTGTGTGTGTGTGTGTGTGTGTGTGTGTGTGTGTGTGTTCACAGATGCATGGGAGAGATGGGCATGGTAGCTGGCTTCCTCCAAACTAGTGATGTGCTAGAGGCCATGAGACCTGACTGCCCCACATGACTTCTTTTTATCTTGATATGACCATTTTACTTCTATCTTTAGATTCCTATTTGGGGGTTAAAACACTACCTCTTATAAGTGCAATCTAAGTGTAAAGACTCTGGTTGGGCTCGGGACTGGGGATGCTGAGGCTGGTTGGGGGTGAGGGGCAAAGCCTGGCACGGGGTGCCCAAGGGAGAGATGAGCAGGGAGCCACAGATGTGCTGTGAACAGCCTTGTGGTGTTCAGATTGGGGTTGTAGCTGAATGTCAGTTCACTCAGTTCTCTTCTCTTCCCATTTAGCTGCTATCACCAGAGTCACCCAGAAGATTTGCTTTTGTGTCCTGACTGAGCTAGATGTAGCCGAAGAGACAAAGGTTGAGAGGAAAACTGACTAGAGGCCGGAGGTGAAGTCCCCTGAGGCCTGGAAGGTTTTACCTGTGGCCACAGTCACCAAAGGCCAGGTGGCGAGACTGTGTGGCCCCAGCCCTCTGGTCCGAAAGGAGCCTGTGGGCACACATTATGTCTGTCAGGGGGTTGAGGGCTGATGGCTTCCTCAGGTGCGCACTCTCATTGGTAAGCTATGGGAGACCGAGTCTGGGGCCAGCATGAGGTGGGGGCAGGGAGGGCTTGGGGATGGTGGTTGAGTTTTGTTCCTGCTGGGTGGTATGTGTAGCCCTTACAGACACTTGGTGAGTTGCGCTAGGGGAAGAGGGAGTGCTAGCTAGGTTAGCTGTGGCTGGTGGTTTCTAAACTTGGTACTCGAGGTTGGAACCAGGAGTCTCTACAAAGGGGCTGCTTTTATGACAAGTTTTCCTCTGACCAGGTCCAGGCACCTGACTTCAGAGGCTTGAAATGCTACCATTTCTTCCTCGGGTTCAAAATCCTTCCCTGGGGGGAAATGGTTGTATCCCATTATTTATTTATATTATTTAATCCAGAACACCAATTCTAGGTGAATCCTGGTATTCATTTACAGGATGCAGTAGGCTGTTTATAAATGCAGAGTACCCAAAGATGAGTCCCTCTGTCCTCAGAGGTGTCTCTACGTGGCGGTGGGTCAGACTCTGACCGCAGATTTTTTTTTTTTTTTTTTTTTTTGCTTCGTTTTAGCACAATCTTCTGTTGAGTCTTACCTGCACAGGTGAACTTTAAAGATTTTTTACTCACGTACCGATTACACTTTAGTATACGTTACAAGCACCTGGGGTTGTAGCTGACACATGAACAAATTCATGCGTCAGAAGTCTGGCACTACTGTTGTTTTGAAGGAGAATCCTTTATTTCACTGAGAGCTTGTCTGTGTTCTAGATGCTAAAGTACACCGCTGGGTTTCTGGTACGAACTTTAAGAGGACAGAAACTTCTCGTTCAGGTACATCACCTGAATTCTCTCAGCTGTCAATGTCTCATGGACTTGAGCCACCAAATAGCTTGTTCCACTCGCTACGGGTCGGTGTGAGGGGCTGCTGTGCAGACCCACGCAAGCCCTCCTAGGTGCTAGACGTGGTCGTTTTCTTTTTCTGGAAACCTCACACCAGGCCGCATCCGCCTGTCCCCAACACCAGGCTTTGTTTACACTGAGCCGCCTTGGTGTGGATCACCGGGACAGTGCACTCCTCTCCCGCCTGCCTCCTGGGGCGGGGTCCGGTGGGGCTTCAGTCTCAGGAAGACCTTGGTACTCCTGGGGACTTCTTTTTTCCCATGGAGATCAGTGAAGACTCTGGGAAAAAAGCTGCTTTAACCTCAGTCTGGCTCCTCAGCAGACTGCACGATGGGACATAACGAATTCTGGTGCTCAGGCTGCTCTTTAACACCCAGGTCAGGCTGAGCAGGTTTGGCCTACTGGATGCTCCTTCATGGGCAGCTTGGCTGCACTGGATTGTACAACTCTCCTAGGATGACCTCAGACCAAATCACCCTGGGCCCAGAGAACCTGCTGGCTTGGCACACCCGTGGGCTTCTTATCCTTACAGTTTGGAATTGACCAATGGTAAAAACAAGAAGTATGAGGCAATCTCCCTTTCTGTTTTTCTCCACCAAACTGGCTCATCTCAGGCAAGGGCGTAACCTTGGTCATACCTGCTCGATACAAACAACTTAAGGGAGCATGCTCACAATTGCTTTTGGTTCAGGGCAAGCATTTGGGAGAACGTAGGGGGCCACTCCTACTATCATGGGTTGGGGATTTGCACTGCAAATTCCTGTCTACAACAGGGAGCCCATACAAAGGGTGACTTGCCTAGACTATGTACACACGACTCTTGTCTGAGCCAAGCTGGCACCTGCTCCAAGGATCCTTTAGAGCTAATCCTTGAAGTAGAATGCGCTTGTTTTGAGGACCCCTGAGGTAGGCTTTGGCTTCCTCCACTCAAGCAAATGACCAGCTCACCCCAGGAACTTGCTGTTTCCCGTTGGCTCCTGGGAAAACAAGGGCCTCCATACCCCAGGTGCCCTAACACTGGCTTAGCGAGCCATGTCATCCTCCTCCCATTAGTGGATGGTGACCGCATTCTTCCCCTCTGTGCTGCGTACAGACTTCCTAGAAACCCTCCTGTGGGAGGGAAGCCAGACTTCCTCCACTCAAGCTTTGTGGGGGAATTAATTTCCATGAGGGTTTTGTTCCTCAGCCTCATTTCTTCTCCTGGTATGCTAATCCCTTTTGCACTGGGTACAGTTTGTGAAGTTGTTAAGCCCTTTAATGTTGGCAAACTTTAATGAGCACATAAATAGCAATGAACACATCATATTGGTACAGAGTGGTTTTTAATCCTTCTTTTACGCCTATAGACTAAGATGACTAGTGTTGACGTACATTTAAGTTGCTGCCTCTTACTTGTGACACTGAATTGTACCTTTGTGGATAGTTAGGGTGGGAAACCAGTATGTTGGTTTTAGAGCCACAAGAGTAGAGCCTGAGCACACACACACATACAATTTAATCGTTTTGTCAGGTTTAACAACTCTGCGTACATAGGAACTGATGTAGATAAATGGGTTTAGGCAGGATGGGAAAGTAGATGCTTATGAAGTCTTTAAAAGATGTGGGAAGACACATCCCTGTGTAATTCACCTTCCCCTGTGATAGTGAGTGTGCGCCATGGGGCAAGAGGGCATGTCTTGAATAGAAGGTTCTGGGTATTGATTGCCCTATACCTGCGCTGTCCAGTACAGTAGCTACTAGCCACATGTAGCTACTTAAAATAAAATAAAGTTGAAAAATTCCTCACACTAATCACATTAAAAGTGCTCAGCCACATGTGGCTAGTGGCTACCACTGCACAGGGCACGTATAGGACACATTCGTCTTTGCAAAAGTTCTACTGACAATGAATGCTACATTAAAGACTAAATGCCAACTCAGTCTGAGTTAAGGCATCTGTGCTTTGGAAGGGGTTGGGGCAGAAATGTAAATTCTGGGGAAGAAATTTTGTCCTATTGGTAGTTTTTGGTGAGTGCTGTAAATAGTTAAACATTTCTTAGTGGAAAGCTAAGTTCAGGATGTGTTTTCCTTTTCCTAATTTGCTTTAAGTCCTTTGTGTCTCAGGTCAATTCCGAAACTTTTATTTCACTACTCCCCCATTTTTGGTGGGGGGCAGGAAGGGGAGAGGGAGCACAATGGAAAACATATTCAGATTGAAAAGGTTTTAAAGGAATTACTTACTTGCTCCCATAGTTAGTGTTTTTACTAAATGCAGAGTATCACATTCATACATACCCTGCTCCTTGGGACCACTGCTAACGAAAGAGCAATCTTTACAGTCATTATCATAGGAAGCAGGGAGGTAGAGACAACTGTCTACCAAACCCCTCACAGCTCAGGCAGATTCGTCCTCTACTGGCCATTACTACTCAGTGTGTGTTCCTATAAGAGACCCACTGTAGCCCTTCTACATTTTCCCGTCAAAAAGAATCAGGCTTTTACTGGGGGCGGGTGCCTGGTGGCGTGGGAAAGTTGAACCTAAGTTCTCATGAAACAGCCTCTCTTCCACTTACTGGCTTTAGCGTAGAAGAAGAGCAGGAAAATGCCTAGGCCAGGAAGCTTCATTTTATGTTTTTTTGTTTGTTTTTTGTCCCCTAGATTGTAGGGTCACTTGAATGAGGCAAAGCATCCTACTATTAATGGAAAAGAGATACTCCTTCAGCACACGTTTTCACTGCTATGATGGTGCTGTTGGACATGCTTTCTCCTTCCGTGTGTTATGCCAGGAAACCCACTACCAGGGTGGCTGATAAGGCAGTCAAAGCCCCAAGGGCCTGTGATAGATCCTCAGTCCGAGTCCAGGTCATGGGTGCTGTCATAGCCAAACTCCTTCTGCACATCCAAAGGGTATTTGCTCCACATCTGTGGCCGGCTATTGCCTCTTTCCTCTTCACTGAGGCCGTTGCATTCATCAGAGCCTGGAATGAGAGAACAGGAGTGGACTCCACCGGCATCATTTTTTTTTTGGTGATTGTGCGCTCCTTCCCATCTCAAAAAGGTCCGGGTTTTGTTTTATTTTTAAATAATTTTTTATTGATTTTTAGAGAGGGGGGAAGGGAGAAGGATAGAGAGATAGTAACATCGATGAGAGAGGAAGTTATTGATCGGCTGCCTCCTGCACAGCCACCACTGGCGATCGAGCCCGCAACCCAGGCATGTGCCCTCACAGGAAGTCGAACCAGTGACTCTTGGCTTCTGGGTCGATGCTCAACCGCTGAGCTACACCAGCTGGGCTGGTTTTTTTTATTTTTATTTTTATTTTGGTTCATTACTTAAAAATACTTGCTCAATAAAGAGAATTCAGGGGAACAATTCGAAAAGATCTCATTTCTACCACTTAAACCAAGTCTTTTAACATTGGGATATTTTGTCATTTCTCCCTTAAGTATAGAATTTTTTTTAATATAATAGTTGTAGTCATATTGTAAATATAATGTTGAACGTTGCCCCTTTTAATATATTATGGGCACTACAGAATATTCTGTAGTTTGATCTAATTGTTCCTCCATTAACAGACACAAATAAATTCTTTTTGTTGGCACTTAGAACCTCTCCAATACTTTGTTAGACCGAAGCAGAGAAAGAGACACTGAGCTACATGTTTCACTTAATCTCTACCAGTTGATGCAATATTCTCATTTTCTGGAGGGAAAATGAGGCTCAATAAGATGAAGTAACTTGCCCAAGATCCACAGCTAGGCAATGATAGAACTAAGGATTTGAACCCACACCTGACTGACATTACACTCTAATAACAACCCCCCCCCTCCCCCCCCGGCTCAAACACTGGTCTGTGGGTCTTCTATAGCTCCAACAGCTTATGATTGAGCTGCATGAGCTCAATGGAGAAGGAAAGCTAGCTAGAATGGATCTGTCTTCTGTACGCATGCCTCAGTCTTGGATCCCAGCAGTCCCTCCCCAGCCAAGGCTGCCACCCACCTACCTCTGGAATCTTCATCTCCGTCACTGCTCTCCTCCTCTGGGTACTCATTGCGCCAATTATTCTCACTATTCTCATCATCTTCATCTTCATCTTCATCAACGCCCTCTAGTTGTTTGCCATCATTCACCTGCACATCTCAACACACACATGAATGTAAGTCAAAACATCTAAGGTTATGCTCTGGGGGAAACTAATATCAGACTAACTTGGGGAGGCTACACTTAGGCTACAAAGGGGAGATAATGGCCCTATTCCACTTACAAGTCCAACTCCAGGGATCACATTCCTGGTGAGATAGACTAAAGGAACACCCCAAAGTAGGGAGGAGAAACAGCTCTGCGCAGGTGATGGTAGTGACCTTTAAACTGTCGGAGGGATTATGGGTGATGCCAAAGATCAGAACCAAAACCCAAGTTTGAGGGGTGCAGGAGGCAAAAGGAGGGCCTATGCATGGTCCAAGGTGGGTGTCTGATTCAGATTATGGTGGTAGAGTAGGTGTGGAGTAGCGTGCTTTTCTCATAAGAGTGTGACAGGTACCACCTTAACTTCTCTCATTATTTTTACATTTTATTTCTTAAAAATATATGTGTGTTGCCGAAACTGGTTTGGCTCAGTGGATAGAGCGTCGGCCTGCGGACTGAAAGGTCCCAGGTTCGATTCCGGTCAAGGGCATGTACCTGGGTTGCGGGCACATCCCCAATAGGAGATGTGCAGGAGGCAGCTGATCGATGTTTCTCTCTCATCGATGTTTCTAACTCTCTCTATCTCTCTCCCTTCTTCTCTATAAAAACTCAATAAAATATATTTAAAAAAATATATATATATATGTGTGTCGATTTGAGAGAGTGAAGAAGGAGGGGGAGGGGGGAGAGAAACATTGATTGGTTGCCTCCCATATGCACCCCAACCGGGGATGAACTCAAAACCTGGGTATGTGCCCTGACCAAGAATTGAACTGGTGACCTTTCGGTGCAAGGGATGATGCTCAACCAACTGAGCCACATTGGCCAGGACACTCATTAACCATTTTAGAATTTGTTTTAAGAATGACTGTCAGGAAGTTAGTAGTTCTTTGTTTTTTTAAATGCAAGTTAGCTTTCTTAATCCATTATTTTCTGCATTATAAGATGCAATTAAAAAGGTTTTGTTCTCATATTAAAATTCCTGGTTTTGTCTGTATTTTATTATAAGCTCTCATACATTTTCCCCTGAGAATGGGTAGATATAAAAAATAAAGATGTTGCCTAGCTGGTGTGGCTTGATAGTTGAACACTGGCCCATGAACCAAGAGGTCACTGGTTAGATTCCCAGTCAGGGCACATGCTAATGTTGGGGGCATGCTCTCTCTCCCTCCCCCTCTAAAAATCAATAAAAACATTAAAAACAACAACTGAGATTTACAAAGTTTGTAAAAGATTCATTAAGAGCAAAAATTATAGACTCCCAAAATTCCCTGCATTAAAACCAGGTTCCTAGAAGGCATTTAGAATAAATTTTTCCTTTTAAGTAAGAACAAAAAGAACTAAGGACAATGGTGACTAGGATTAGAATCCAGGGAGGCAAAGTACCCTGACTAGAGAATGGCTTAGGTTGCCTCATGCCCTCATGCCCATAGGTCCCCTTACCAGCTCCCACTCCTGGCTGTAAGGCTGCACAGAGAGGATATTCTCAATCCATCCTGGAGTGGCCGTCTCCAAGTAGTAAATGTCATACACATAGTCATCCTTCTGTTCCTCCCGGGGCCCGACACTTGGTCCATCCTCAGATATAGTCAGCCGCTCGCGGATCAACTCTACAGAATTGCAAAGGATCACATCTGGGTCAGATGCCTGCGAAGAAAACAGCAGATAACATGCATGAGATTAAACACGGATGTTCAAAGAAAAGGAACCTAAGTGTTGGGTGAAGGAAGCCTCCCTACAGTTCTCCGTTGGATTCAGTAGTCTTATCCCCACGGCCTGTTTAATTAGCTATGAGATTATAAAAAACTAAGTATTTCTCAAAAAAGTAATGTGTGGTTCTTCTGAGATAGAAACTTGCAAGACAGACTTCTACTCTTTTGTGCTCGGCTGATGCAAGAGCATGTGTGATGTGCATGTGAAGACTGGCCTGAGGAGAGGCGAGGGCCAGCAGAGCTTTGAGTCTTCCCCTAGGTCTTCCTGAGCTCCTTTGTTACGATGTTCTCCCTTTGGGGATCTGCAGGCCCACAGCAGCACCTCTATAGCGGACTCCTCAGTGGGCCTGCATTTTGTGTGGCCTTCTATAGGGAACCTACAGACGATTCCTGGGCTATCATGACTACTACCAGCCATCACCCACCACTTGACTTGCCCACACTGACATCCTACTTTTAATCATAACCAGGAATGGATTCCTCTATAATCCTTTTTCTTGCTAGAAAGAATAGCTTCAAGATAGATTGACCCAGATTGGAACTGGCCAAGGTAAGATGGACTCTAGGTCCAATAGGCTGTGTTATCCAGGGTGGCACAGGCCAATTTGGAAACCAAGGGGACATGCTGCAAATGATCCCCCTGCAAACGATCATCACAGGAGCTGTGCAGCTGAAACCATATGCCCTATGGGAAGGAGAGGCGTACCATGGAGAGGCAGACAAGGGGAGACCAATGCTCTCTATCACAAGCTACAGGGAATTAATTCTTCTTTGTTCCAAAGTCAAAAGGAACTAGAGATGTCAGTTTTTGTGTAGAGACTTGACTGACCTAAAAGCTGTCCATTAGGAAAGCTCTGGCTCCAACTCACAAGTCCCCAGCCCTCAGTCCAGCAAATTATGCAGCCGTATTCCTTTGCTATAGATTTTTTCAAATTTCCTATAATGAACACATTGTTTTCATATAATAATAAATTACTTTAAGTCTAATCTATGTATGTTTACCCCTGGTCTCAATTATAATACATACAGATTTCCCACCAGTAAACATATATAATATGTACTTTCCCATCTTGCCAGTCTTCATGGTTATTAATTTAAAGTCCAGGCAGTTGTATAGTCCATTTCTCAGACATAATTTTAGCCTCCATGTTTAACACTGCAATGAATATGAAGTTTCCTGCATTTGAAAATAGAGATTAAAGTACCTAGGGTTTTTGTGAGGATTAAATGAGTTAAATAAAATATATAACAACAAAAAAGAATATATAACAATTACTTAGACAATACTTGATGTATAGTAATTAGTAAACAAACAGCTTTTGTTAATACCACAGCTGTTTGCTTCTGCTGAATTATTTCCCTAGGATAAATCCTGGGGATGAAATTATTAGATAAAATGAACCAAACCTTTTCACCTTTTCAGATACCCTATTAAGTAGTACTTTATTTGCTTAAAACTTAAATTTCTTTAGAATTTTGAGTGACTTGAGTCCAAACAATAAAAATAAATTTGAATAGTTTTAAAATAGACCCTAAGCTATTGTTAGCCATGCTGTTTTCCAAAAGACAGGCATCAATTTTAAGCACTACAGCCATATACCATTTTAATCACAGCCTTGCCAGCAGTACTATCGACAACCTTTCCTCTGCTGGTTTTAGTAGGGATAAAACCTCAATTTTACTTTCAGCTTAAATTCATATTTAAAATTTATGTGAAATATATTTATATTGATTTCAGAGAAGAAGAGAGAGGGAGAGAAACATCAATGATGAGAGAGAATCATTGATCGGTTGCTACCGGCACACCCCACATTGGGGATTGAGCCCACAACCTGGGCATGTGCCCTGACCAGGAATTGAACTGTGACCTCCCTGGTTCATAGGTTGACACAACCATTGAGCCGCACTGTCTGAGCTAAATTCATGTTTTTAAAATAATTACTCTGCAAATATTTTTGATATGTTTATAAGTTTGTATTGCATTGTTGGGTTGGGAAAATTTGTGTTCACAATTTTCAGTTTATTTGTTTTTCTTATAAAATTGAGCTATTTAATTGATTCCACTGAATATTAGTGTACTTTTAAACATCTGATTGTTAACTCATGAATCAGCCTTGATTTACTTTTGGTAAAAGTTGTGGCTATTGCCCCAACTGGTTTGGATCAGTGGATAGAGCGTCGGCCTGAGGACTGAAGGGTCCCAGGTTCGATTCCGGTCAAGGGCATGTACCTGGGTTGCGGGCACATCCCCAGTAGGAGATTTGCAGGAGGCGGCTGATCGATGTTTCTCTCTCATCGATGTTTCTAACTCTCTATCTCTCTCCCTTCCTCTCTGTAAAAAATCAATAAAATATATTTTTTTAAAAAAATAAATAAAAATAAAATATATTTTATTGATATCCTACAGAGAGAAAGGGAGAATAGAAAGTTAGAAACATCGATGAGTGAGAAACATCGATCAGCCGCCTCATGCACACTCCCTACTGGGGATGTGCCCGCAACCAAGGTACATGCCCTCGACCGGAATCGAACCTGGGACCTTTCAGTCCACAGGCCGACGCTCTATCCACTGAGCCAAACCGGTTTCAGCAATAAAATATATTTAAAAAAAAAAGATGTGGCTATCAATGTCATGCTCAAGTTGCTATCAGGTATACTAGCACGATGATTAAATATGTTTTGCCTGATGTATTTTGAATTAAAATTTCATTTTTTACACTTAAAGGACTATTAAAAGGAGTGAAAAATTTTTAAATGTTTACTAAGAGGCGGAATGCCTTAGGTCAGTGGTCGGCAAACTGCGGCTTGCGAGCCACATGCGGCTCTTTGGCCCCTTGAGTGTAGCTCTTCCACAATATACCACGTGCGGGCACACATGTACAGTGCGATTGAAACTTCGTGGCCCATGCGCAGAAGTCGGTATTTTGTGGAAGAGCCACACTCAAGGGGCCAAAGAGCCGCAGTTTGCGGTCCACTGCCTTAAGTTGAGAATTTTCTATTTCTATGATATTATTGCATGCAGACTTTGGTGTGTTTTTTTTGAAGATACAAAACAAACGTATTAGATGTAATGTAGTGGAAAGAACACTGGATTAAGTGTGCATTTGAGACCTGACTCTGCCTCAGACTTGATATGGTACCCAAGACTAGTCCTTTAACCTCCCTCTGATGAGTTTGCCCATCTGCTCTATCTTTTCCTTGCTCAAAGTCCTCCATTAATACCCTATTCAGGATGAAAAGGCTAGGGGTCTAGTACATTCTTCCCCCAAATTCCTTATTACTATTCTCTCCAAGTTCACTGGGCTCCAGGCCCACTGACTTTGAAAACATCAGACAAACTTGGTTTGAAAGCCTTTGTGCTTGTAAGTCCTCAACCTGGAATGCCCCTCCCCAAGATATCCACAGTGCCCTGCCACTCACCTCCTTTAAGTGTTCACTCAAATGCCCCCCCCCCCCAGTGTGACCTCTGAAATGGAACCACTCTTTTCCTGCGCACCATACCCCACCCCCGCCCCCTTTACAGCCCATATCACCATCTGACAGTGAATTTACTTGTTTTTCTGTATCTGAATGTTAGGTTCACTGCTCTACCCACAGAACTTAAGAACAATGCTTGTCACATAGCGGGCGCTCAGTAAATCCTTGTTGAAGAGAGAACCTAATCTGTAAAATCGAGGCTAGCAAGCCGGCGGGATCATCCGTTAATAAAAGGTGAAGCCATGTGCATCTCAACTGTGTGCCGCCTTAGCGCCCAGATTCCTGGCACTACTTGTCGGGAGAAGCCCAGCTCTCCTCCGCGGGGCGTGCACTCACTTTGCAGGAGGCGGATGCGGCGGCGGTGGCGGTTGCGGTGGCAGCGGCGGCGGCAGTGGCAGTAGCAGCGGCCTCAGGGTCTCCTTCTTCGTGGACCAGATCCAACAGCTGGAAGCCTGCGTCACCGCCGGCTTCTGGGTTTTCCCGCGCGTCCTCGGACTCCAGATCGTCCAAGAGAAGGTCCGAGGGTCGGCGGCTAGAGACTACCCTGTAGCGACCCTCCTGCTGGATCTTCCGAGTCGACGCGCGGAGATCGTGGCGGATACGCTGATGGGTGCCCCAGGGTGGGGGCAGAGCGCGCAGGAGCGGCTGGACCGGGTCCTCCTGGAGGGCAACAGGGAAGGGGAGCGGCGTAAGCAGGGGATCGGGTGGGGGTCAGGGAGACAGTGTCATCCCGGCGGCGCCCTCAGAGCCCCTCCACTCAGGCTCCACCCCCGCCCGATACCTGGGAGCACACGGTAGCCACCAACTGGAAGACATTTTTCTCTGCTGCTTTCTCCAGACCCTCGGGGGGCGTCTTCTGGACCGCCAACTCCACCACATCTTTCCGGAGGCGTTTACAGGCGAGGACCAGGGCCTCGGCAGGCTCCTCGCTGCGCTTCCGCTTCACGCGGAGTATAGCCGTGCGACCAGCCTCCATAGCGGCGGTCGCGAAGCAGTGTGGGAACGCGTAGGGTGCAACAGGAAAGACTTCAGGTTCTACTTCCGGGTCCCGTCCCCCTCATCCGGCGTAGGAAGGTCCCGCCCCCTTACGCCGGCCGCGGTAATGTGGCCCTGGCGGCGGAAGTGAGCGGAGCGGCGTCCGCGGCCGGTGAGGCGCTGAGCATGTTGGGTAGGTGGGAATCGCATCGGAGCCCGGGATGCAGCCAGCGTCCCGTCCCCGCCGCAGGGCTCCGGCGGCTGGGCCTGGCGTGGGCGTTCTCGGACGCCGCGGTACGCACTTCTGCGGGGCTTCCGAGAACCTTTCGAGGGTCCGCGTGGGGCGGCTCCGAGCGCCCGGGCCGGCGGAAGAGCGGGGTTTCAGGCGGGCCCCGGTTTTGCCGCCCTCTCTGGTGATGGCCGCTTGCTGGGCCCGTGGGGGAAGCACCTCTGCGATGAACGGGTTGACAGGACGTACCTGGACTCGCCCCTCAGCGCCAGAGCTTGGCGTGGTGGTTGCCATCCCCTCCTCGTAAATGTCCGCATTAGTTGACAGCTCTTGGAGAATGAGGAGGGAGGGGGCCAGGCTGTCCCCTGAGCCTGGAGTGTGGTCTTCTTTTGGGAGGGGACACGTCTTAATAACAGGGGAAGATGTTTATCCGTAGAAGATGTACGTAGGGAGGTTATAGGACGTGGTTCCCATTCATTTAGATTAATACGAAACCCAGTGACTTCCCTGCCGTTCTGAAAAGACTCTGGTTCTAGTCGTAGCCTCAGCAACATCACAGACAAAAAGGGATTCCACGGGATCAGGGTTTCTAGACCCTCCGCACAACGGACCCCAGCAACCTGTGCGCCTCTCTGCTCCGTTTCACTGCAGCTGGTTTATCCGCCGCGCAGGATAGTCTAAGGGGTGGGCAAACTTTTTGACTCAAGGGCCACAATGGGTTCTTAAACTGGACCGGAGGGCCGGAACAAAAGCATGGATGGAGTGTTTGTGTGAACTAATATAAATTCAAAGTAAACATCATTACATAAAAGGGTACGGTCTTTTTTTTTTTTTTTTTTAGTTTTATTCATTTCAAACGGGCCGTAGTTTGCCCAGGGCAAGGGGGGTGAAGTGCCCTCTCCCCACGCCCACCTAAATCCTACCCATCTTTGTGTGTATGTGTGTGTAAATTCTCACAGGATATTTTTTCCATTGGTTTTTTGTTTTAGAGAGCCTGGGAGGGAGAAATGAGGGGGAGAGAGAGAGAGAGGAGATACGTGGATTGGTCGCCTTTCGCAGGGCCCCGCCGGATTGGTTTGAACCTACATCTGAGTTATGTGCCCTTGACTGGGAATTGAACCTGGGACCCATCTGTCCGCAGGCCAACACTCCAACCACTGCGCAAACCGGCCAGGGCCCTACCCATCTTTTAAGCCTTCCCTGAACATTCGCTGAAATGTCATTTCTCCCTACTGCAGCCTGTGCCAATTGGACAGTTTTCTAAAGCACATTACTGACTCTGGTAGTTCTAGATACTGTCTTTTTAAAAAGGGTATCAGCATGTGAGATGTACAGAGCTGGTTATAGCAATGGTTTGCAGACTAGGTTACAAGCCATTGCTGAGTAATGAAATCAGCTTAGTGGATCCTGGTCTATTAAAAAATAAAATGAAAATAGGGTAAGATATATGAGGGCCTTGCCCATGGCAAGACTAAATATGTACCGTTTTGTGAAACTTGGTTATGTTTGTGTTTGTATGTATGTGTCTCAGCGTAAAATATATTACTTACTGGGGTTGACGGGAAGTTTGAGAGCCCCTGGGTTAGAAAGTAGATATTCTGGGGTTTTAGAAGTAGAGTTTTGCTGAAAGACAGATGGACTATGTTGAACCAAGCTAGTGTTTCCCATCCTCTTGTATAAAAATTCAGTATTTACTTAGTCTTGGTAATTTCAAGAGAAAGCCAATAACTGTGGCCAATAAAATGCCTGAGGGGACCTCCTCCACAAAAAATAACCATGTCTCCTGAAGATGGGTCAGTGTTTCACAAGAATGAAGGGGCATGTGGAACACTTGCTGTTCCTGAATGTCAGAGGAAGGGGGCATTGGGAGACTCCATTCCTGCTGAGAGGTGCCTTCAGCTTTGAGCTGTGGTGTTCCTGTCTCTCAGAAATAAATATCTTTGAGCAAAAAGGCCATACAAGACATTTTATCTGTCTGATAATATTTTATTTATTTGAAACAATTTTTTTTAAATGAAGAAAGGTTTTTCAAAATTGCTTTTAAAATTAAATACTGAGTAGATAAGTAATTATTATGAAAAATAGCGAGGCATGAAGAATGACAGTATCATGAGCACCTGTATTCCCACCACCCAGTTTTAGAATTTACCTGCTCTTTAAGTCCCCTGTGTGGCCCTTCTTTATTTATTTTTTATTTTTTATTTTTTATTGATTTCAGAGAGGGAGGGAGAGTGAGAGAGAGAGAGAGAGAGAGAGAAATATCAGTAATGAGAGAGAATCATTGATTGGCTGCCTCCTGCATGCCCCCCACTGGGGATCGAGCCTGTAACCCAGACATGTGCCCTGACCGGGAATCCAACTGTGACCTCCTGGTACATAGGTTGACCCTCAACCCCTGAACCACACCAGCTGGGGCTGTGTGGCCCTCTTGATCCCATCCTTTTTCCTTCCTACTATCCTATTCCCTGCTATGCACTTTAGTGTGATTCCTAAAGAATGTGTTGTTCTGTTTTGAATAATTATACATCCTGTATAATAAAAGCCTAATATTCTAGCTGTCAGGTGGGCCGTTCAAGCAATCAAAGTATAATATGCTAATGATATTCTAAGTCCGCTCAACCATTCGCTATAATGTTCACCGACCACCAGGGGGCAGATGCTCCGACCGGTAGGTTAGCTTGCTGCTGGGTTCCGGCTGATGGAAACTGAGCCAGACAGGCTGGACATGCCCTGGAGCCCTCCCGCAGTCCCTCCCTGGCTAGCCAACCTCCCGCGTCCCTCCCCAGTACATGAGCACCGGTGGGGTCCCTCGGCCTGGCCTGTGCCATCTCACAATCCAGGACCCCTCGGGGGATATCGTAGAGCCAGTTTCGGCCCAATCCTGCAGGCCAGGCCGAGGGACCCTACTGGTGCACGAATTCGTGCACCGAGCTTCTAGTTTTATATAAATGTGAACTTATATGTATTCTGTGACTTGTTTTTTTTTTTATGACTCAACATTATATTCCTGGGATTATCCATGTTTGTGTATAGCTGTGACTGACTTGTTTAGATTAAGGTTTTCCTAATTCGTTTGAATTGCTCTATCTTTGTATTTTTCCTTAAACTAAATGTCTAATATCCTTAGATAGTTTTAGTGGCACTCCTTTACCACCATCCCAATTTCTCTCTGTTCTTTCCTACTAGCCCTTTCCTCTGCTTTATTTTCTTTCTCACCTACCTTTACCTGAGGCTATGCCCAGATGTACCTTTGAGGCTCATTTGACCCAGTTGGAATCACTGAGGACTGCTCAAGTTTCCAGATAGTTTTATGAACTTGTGTATTACAGTTTTTAATGTTATATGGGGAATATAAAACCAAGTAAGTCTTGCTGGAAAAATGAAAATTCTGATTAACAAATATTTTCAGTGGTTTTGACATTGTTGTCAATTTCTTGGACTCCCCCCCGCTTTGTTTTCTTGTCTTTTAACATTTTTTCTTTTCTTTTCATTCTTGGGCATTATAATGTGAATAGGTTTCTGACTGCCTGACCTGATCATAAGAAGTAAGCTGGCCAGTGATAAAATTGAGGAGCTGATTGGCAGCATGAAGATCTTCTGTGGGAGGGCCAATCCGACCACAGGATCTGTGGAGTGGCTGGAGGAAGATGAGCACTATGATTACCACCAGGAGATTGCCAGGTAACAAGCGTTTGTTCACAGTTGGCTGCAGCTGGATGGGGCACTTGATCTCAAAGCAGATGCCTTGAAATTTAGTCTGAGTGTGCAATAGGACATGACCCAGTGCTTCTGGGCAGGTGTAGGTCACAAGCAGGTGTGCTCAGCCAAGTAGGTTTGTGTGGGAGTTAGGCTGAGTCATGCCTGTGTGGGAAGTCAGAGGATCTGTCTAGTGGAGCAAAGAAGACCCAAGGTTCAGTAGTAGTAGAAGAGTTTATGAAAGTTAATTATTTATTGGTGCCACTTAAATGGTGACATTCCTCATATAGTTAAATTCTCCTGAAAAGTTGAAAATTGCTTTTTCTTTTCTTTGAAGGGATATTTAAAAGTATGTGAGTTACTGTTATTTAGCAATCATTAAGTGCATACAACATGACAACACCGTGCTAGGGCAGTGAGTACCAAAATGAAGAAGAAAGGTTCCCATCCTTAAGGAACAGGTAGTTTTATGGAAGAGACAGACATAACAAATGACGGTGCAGAGAGATTAAGGCCCATGGAAATGGGCACAAACGTTTATGCCCATTAGCAACAAGAACCAGCTGGCCTGGGGGGTTGATATCTACATGGAGAGAAATTGGAGTGGCAGTCAGTTCAGTGTGCTGGAGTGTGGTGCAAAAGTAGGGCTGTGATGAGAGAGGATGCTGAAAAGGTAGGCGGAGGTCATGTTTTAAACTTGGTAGCGAATATAAGAAGAGGAGCATGAATATGCATGTGGGCTCTCCCCTTCCTAACTCTCACATTGGCCAAGCTACTTAACTTCTCTGTGCCTAAATACAATAATATATTCCTCAATATCTATAATGATAAAAGCATAATATGCTAATTAGACTGCTGTCCTTCCAGACGAAGCCGGGGCTGTAAGGGAAGCCCGGGTGCCGGGAGCCAGAGGGAAGCCGGTGCCGGCACCTGGGGGGAGGAAAGCCTACTCTTGCACGAATTTTGTGCATTGGGCCTCTAGTATACAATAGAATAACTCATAGGATGCAGTGATGGAAGGAGAGAGAAATTTCAGGAAGCATCAGGCTTTCTGATTAGAGTGACTAGGTAGATGGAGCTACCATTTCCTGAGAGGAAGAACACAGGAGGAATCGGTGGTGT